TTGCCTTCTGCGCGCACGTCGATTATCCGCCGACTGATCTTATCCGCTGTGTTTCTCTCAGGGCGACGAGTTCGACGAGGAGGGTGCTCCACATCAGCTGATGGTCGCTCGCTTGCCGCTATCAGATTAGAACATATCCACGTATATATAACGTCGTAAGAAGGTCGTTAACTATGCGACAGTTGAAGCAGAGAGACTAGCAATACAGCATAGGAGTGGAGTGCCCGTATACAATGATACATTGCATGTGTCCGTCCAAAATGAAAGTCATAATGTAGTGCAAGCAAAGGGGGAAAGAAAGAAAAGGCATAGTAAACGAAAACGCATACTCTAGAGTCCTACCCACCAAGAAGGTATAGCGGCACGGCCCCCGTGGGGCGCGCACACCCCCACCAGCAAGAGAAGAGAAGTATAAGAAAGGGTGCTTACGTGCAAGAAGACAAGGTATATAAATGAAACGAAATGCGTCATCTCGTCGCGCTCATGAACGATTCGGGAGATCGGACCCATCGTCAGTCGTAAAACCATCGCTCTCGCTCTCAGAGCTCATCGCCTCTCGTTTCAGCGGCCGCAATCTCGGGAACGGCATCGAATTGATGGGGTTGCTGGGAAGGATGCTGAAATTTATGCTCGTCCCGTAGCCCGTCGTGCCCTCTTCGTACAGCTTCCGCGCCGATTCGTACTCCAACTTCTCCTGCTCGGCTTGTGCGAGGAAGGGCTGTTCCGACACGCGCGTCAGCAGGGATGACAAATCAGCTTCGTTAGTACGCACCTTGCGTTCCTCATCGGTCATAGAGCGCCATTTGCCTGCGGCAAGCACGCTCTGCTTGGTCGTCTCAGACTCATCTCCGAACACCTCCTTGACTAATTCAGGATCCGACCGAATACGCTGGAGGAACATGAAATAAGCAGAGAGCGGCTTCTTCGGCGCGTTGGGGTCCTTGATATTGCCCTTGCGTGATTTGCCTGCGCGGCGCTGTGCGGTCCGGAATGCGTTCTCGCGTTTGATATCTTCCGGCGTCAGCGTCCGCATATACGCAGCGAGTTCGCGCTCGCGCAGCTCTTTGGCAGCCTGAGAGCGGCGTTTGTAGGGCTGTTTATCAGATGGCGAATGCGGATGAGCGCGCGGACACAATCACGAGCGAGGAGCATCATACCTCTTTCTGGTCAGCAGAGAGCTTCGCGTACTCCTGGCCCGCTTCCTTGGCGGCCTGCGCGACGTTGAGCTTCTTCTGACTGGACGCCTGGTGGCGCGCGATCCAGTCTGTGAAATAGAGCTGCCAAGCCGACGGGGCGAGCTTAGGGGGCCGGAGGGTCGACTTTAGTGGCGCTAGACGGTCGTGGCGTCCCACATTGAGTACTACTGCAGGGGAGATCAGGCTATGGTGACAGGACTCACGGGTGTCCGGCAGCTTTTCCACGGCATGGGTCTCCTCGTCCTCCACGTCTGCGCGCTTCTTCTTGCGAATGGTCGCGTCGTCGTGCTCGCTGATGGACTCGGACCGCCGGCTGTATGCGCGTGCGAGCGGCGGCGGACGGGCGTGCGAGAGGGAGGGGGCACTGGAGGACTGGAAGATCTGTGAGATGGGCGTGATGCCTCTGCGGGATGAGACACGCTGTCGCTGTGTTGCGTAAGCGTCCTCGGACAGGGGTGGGAAGGGGACCGGTGGTGGAAGGGGCAGGGCGACGTTCTGCTGCTGCGCGTCGGGAGAATCCCAGAGCTGCATGGCCCATGCGGGTTTGAAGGACGAGTCGGGGGGCGACATGGGGGCTTGGGCTGTGCAACGCAGGGCCTCGGACATGACCGCGTCATCCTCGGGGGTATACGACCGCGGGAGAGGCTGGAGGGCGGCGTAAGCAGAGAGGGGAGAGAAGGTGGTGACGTCGGGGAAGACAGAGGAGCTGTCGCTGTACGCAGCATAGGGAGACTGGGGCGGGGGAGAGAAGGACTGGTTGCTTGGGATGGGGATGGGGATGGAGGACGGGTGGTAGGACGCGGGGTCGGGGTCGGTGAGCCAGGACGCGTAGAGGGCAGAATCGGTGAAGTCGGGGGCGGGAGAGGCAAAGTCGAGATGGGCGGAAGCAAATGGGCGATCGACCGGGGGCGGAGGCAAATAGGAGTGGGCAAGATCGAGCTGGGAGGAGGTGGAGTCCGGGGAGCCGGGAAAGGGGATGGAGGACATGGTGTAGCCGGGGACGGCGTCCCAGGAGAAGGGCGACTTTGCCTCGAGAGGACGCATGTCGTCAAAGTCGAAGATCATGTTGTCAGACATGGGGTCGTCGAACGCGAAGACGGGGGACGGGTCGCGGATGGACATGTCCTGGGCGGCGAGGGCGATGGCGACGGGGTCGTGGTCGGGGTCGTAGTCGCGTCTCAGGACGGACATGAAGGTGCGGGCGAGAGGGAGCGACGGAGGAATGGGGCGAGGGGGGGCAGCGGAGGAACGGGGGCGGGCGGAGGATTTAAAAGGGATGGCGACGAGGGCGAGCGGTCTTGGAAAGGCAGGCATGGCTGATTGCGGTCCCTCTTCTGACTCGGTCGAATTCAATCAGCGGGCTGGAGAGTTTGGCCTGCGTAGCCTGCCCGATTGGGGTGTCCAATTATAGGGTCGAAGAAACAACTTGAAGATCACACACACACACACACGTCCTGCCCCGGCCACGCACCGCTCCTGCGCCACCCCCCGGCCGGCCCCTCTCCCCCGTATGGCATCCCCGCCCCGGGGCACCGGCTCGCCTGCGCATTGTCCCCTCGGCGCGCGCGCCCGGCGGACAGGCAGGCCGGCTGTGTATGCACTCGCTCGCACTCGTCGATTTTCACGCAGACTCTGGCTCTGATATGTCTTTTTCAATGGAAGCTGCCCTCTCTCGGCTGATACCATTCCTCTCGAAGCGCGTACAGGCAAAGCACGATCATCACAGAACCACAATCGACTCCGCTGGCCGGTACCTTGGGTTGCTGTAGACACTTTTGCCCGCCTATCCCACCCCCCGACATCGCGCACAGGGGCAGCCGCACAAGCCAGAAGAATCACGATAACCATCAGCTTTCGCCCCGCTTCGCGCAGCGCAACACGAGTGGAGCCACTGACCTCCCAGCCTGGCACGTCCTTCATGATCTCCTTCTCCCTCGCAAGCGCAGCCTGTTGCCGTCGGTACGCATCCCGGTCCCCCTCCGCCAGCAGCAGCGGCACCAGGTGCAGCCGGGACCACACCTTCTCTCTCTGGAGCTCTCTGTAACACACACACACACACGTCAGCATCCTGCCCTCCGCGTCCCCCATGCCGCCATATCCGGGCGCTCCCCACGATAAGCCATCTCATCGGTATCGTGTGCCCGGATCCAAACCCAGCCACGTTCTACGGCGGGCGGGGGCGACTGAGCACACGTTTTACATCCGCCTGACCTCCCCCCTTCCGCGAGAGAACAATCGTTTTTTCCACGCACCTCTTCTCCACATTCCCCTTTCCGACCCGATAGAATCCGTACGCGCACACCGCCGTCACGCCGCCGAGGATGACGAGCCCACTGGGCCCCCGCAGCGGCAGATTGCGCTTGTACTTGATGGCGTCGAACCCCCCGGGCGGGGGCATGTCCCTGCAGACGTGAGGCCCAGGAATGAACACGACGCGTGGCACACCGCGTTCGCTGGACAATAGACGTACTGTCGGTAGGGTGCAGACACTGCCAGCGACGTGATGTCAGCGCTTCCATTTTGCGGGGGGACAGAGATGGAAGAGCACTCACTCGCGAGATATTCAGATGCGACCCAGATGGTCGATAATGCAGACAGCAACAGATAGAAATGGCTGCGGCGATGGCAGCTGTGAAGGTGGAAATGAATGCGCGTGCAGCCTGGGTGCAAACCACCGGCCCTGACGTGGGCACGTGGCTGTGGCAAACACCTGCCCGATTAGGAAGGGCGCGCCGTCTGATACGTATTTTACCGCGGCGGAAGTAGGCGTGGGCACCGCGGCCCAGCGAGGCGACATGAAATTCTCTGCCAACGCTGTTTATCCTGATAGGAGTTGTCAGATATTCGTGATATCCAAGTAGTGGAGGACAGCAGGAATTGCGGCTGGGCAGCCTCCGGACGGCCGCAAACAGCCGGCGGCGTCTCGAAATGGGAAGCTGACTGGAAGCGGACTCAACGCCGGCCAAACATGACAGCTAAGCTCGAAATGTCCGCATCGCCCCCCTCCTGCCGCCACCATGTCGCGCCAGCCGTCCCCCGGCCCCTCCCACTCTTACATGGCCACCGCCTCTCTCTACCACCCCCCCGCCCTCGCGGCAAACCCCCAGTTCGTACAAAAGCAAAAGAGCAAAAACTACGTCGCAGGCATCACTGCCGGCGTCGAGGACGTCAAGTATCAGGCAAAATACAAGGAGCTCAAGAAGAAGGTCAAGGAAATCGAAACGGTCAGTCGCACGCAACACCGCTCTGCGCTGCATTTCATCACCTGCCCCTCCCCCCCCCAGGACAATGACAGGTTGTACTTCAAACTCCTCCTGGCCAAGAAAAATATCCGTCGGATGAATCTTGAGCGAGCGTGAGTGTGTGAGCGTCTCAACGTGACTCACATTCACCCTCGTCCCCCTCCCAGCATCCTGTACGAGCGACTTGCTGCTGTGCCTCCCACACCCGGTCGCCATGTACAAGACCTGCCTCCCGACCAGGACCCCATCTTCCATCAGCAGCCCCCTGTACCCCCCGACCATGCTCGCATAGTCGACCCAAACGATCCCCTCTTGGCTGAATACATAAGGAGTCATCCAGATGCCCGACTGGTCTACGGCCCCGATGGCAGAATCGTCGCAATCGAAGATCTCCCGCCCCCGCCAACCCTGCGACCTGGGGCTGCTCCGGCCGCCCCTCCGCAGCCTCCACCGCATGGACTGCCTCTCGTCTATGGTTTTCGCCACGACTCTGGGCCTGGCTACGATCCGAATCGCCAGCTGCCACCCCTGCCGCCCATGATACCTGTCATCCAGTCCCAGCCGGCAGAAGGACCCCCAGATATGTCTACGATTACTGAGCACCATGGTATCCCGTACGTACAGCACCAACCACACGTCCACCCCCATTCCCATCCACACGCAGTCGGTGGTTCCTCCCATCATCATTCACGCTCCAATTCTGCCCGTCCAGATCTCGATCCCATCCCAGGAGCACCCGCCCGAGTCGAGTCACTCCCCATCGTACACGCAGGCCACAGCCGCAGCCCTAGCATGCCCGGCGAGGGCCCTGCGCACGACCGCGCGCGGCGGCACGACCTACACGAGTTGGCCCACCCGCAGGCCCACGCCCCGCCCCACCCGCGCGTGCAAATCCCCGCGCCCAACCTACCCGCACCCGCGTCGCCGCCGAGCCACTCGCCTGCGAGCACGCGCGGCTCAGACCGCAGCGCAGGGCGCGTGCACAACCACCAGCGCGTGGGGCCCGGCGCGAACATCAACCGCGAGCCGGGCGCGCGGGACTGGGAGCTGCAGCGCGAGCACGAGCGCGAGATGGATCGCCAGCGCGAGTACGAGCGTGAGCGCGAGCGCGAACACGCGTACCGCATGCACGTCGAGATGCAGGAGCAGGAGGGCCCCGGGCGTCCTTGGGCGCGCGAGGACGCGTCCGGCTCGGGCAGCCCCGTCGCGGGCCTCGCGAGCGCGACTGCGGGGAGGGTGCCGTCGCGCCCCGCGTCGGGCCAGGCG